CCTGAAGAAAGATGTGCAAATTCAAAACAATGTTTGAAAGTGTGTACAACTGTATAAACAGCATAATAAATATAATAAACTGTATAATCAGGAATAAATTAATTAGCTTACAGACAACACAATACAGAACATTTAAATCAGTCTACATTTCTAACACTGTATCATATGTCCACAACCAATCAAGCATAGTCCCTATACCACAAATGTATAGAATTTTTTAATAATTTTTTTGTGCCAGGAGCAACTTGAGAAACTGCAAGTCTCTTCTGGTGAGAGAATTAGCCATCTGCAAAAACATTGCCCACAGGAGGCCCGGATGTTTTGATGTTTTACCTTCCTTGTGGGAGGCTTCTCTCATGTCCCCACATAAGGAGCCGGAGTTGACGGAGGGAGCTCATCTGCACTTTCCCCAAATTCGACCCTCCGGCCTGTCAGTCTTCAGTTTTGCTGGCACAAAGGTTTAACTCATTGCGCCACCAGGGGCTCCCAAAAGTATTGATGGGAAGCTGACATTTAACTTGGCATTGGGAAGGTGCCAAAATAAGGCCAGATTTTAGCTTTAATCTGGCCTCCAACAGGCAGGCATGCCACATGTAAGTTTTACGAGGATACAAATAATTATAATATAGCAAAAATTAGAGTACTTGCAGAAGAGACATTTGTCAGGCTCTTTTCTCATGGAGCCAATGACTATTTTCAGCCTTATGTTTTCTCGTTATTCTTTTTTGCACCAGAAAAAGCATGTTAGTGGAGCAGAATGGAAAAGCTGTCTTTTAACTGTCACAAGTAGGACTCTTAAGCCAATGCTAAGTTCTAATGAAAGCAAGAAAGCAAGAACTGATTTATGGGAGTCCGGCACACAACTAATGTTTGTCAGATTGGGATTGCAGAGCTCATATCACAATGATGAATCTAAAGCTGCAGTCCACTTCCAGCTGAATGCCCTTCCAGGGATGGAAAGAAAACTCATTATTTGCCCACAGATAAAAAAAAAATGAAGTTCATAATAGTCAAGAAACCCCATTAGGAAGAATAACAGATCATAGATAATTATTCTCCCCATATTCGAACAGAACACGGGAAAGAATCAGTCTGCACAAAAAAGGTGTTCTTCAATAATGTATTGTTTCTTGTGCAGAACAATTCCTTCACAACACATTGAAACATTTGAGTATTAGGAGACAACCAAATGTCCGAATGCTTGTCACAGAGCGCCTCCTTTTCTGAACAGCAAAATGCAGAATTTCAAATGTCTAGAAACACCAGCATGACAGTATGATCATGACAATAGATTGTATGTGGTGTCTTAAGACGGACTGCTCTTAAAAACTAACCATTGTCATTCTGCTGCAATCAAGAAGTGGAATTGCAACCAATACTTCACACTTCTGAAGATACACTGCGTTAATTGTGAAAATCTCTATTAATACCTTCCTACATATACACATCAGTGTCTCTTGAAGGCATCTCCCCTGTAACTTGCTTACAGAAACACAGACATTGGAGGAAAATGCAAGACTACAGGCTTTTGCGGGGTATTATTTTTGGTAGTCAATATAGAATCATAGAATCATAGAATCAAAGAGTTGGAAGAGACCTCATGGGACATCCAGTCCAACCCCCTGCCAAGAAGCAGGAATATTGCATTCAAATCACCCCTGACAGATGGCCATCCAGCCTCTGCTTAAAAGCTTCCAAAGAAGGAGCCTCCACCACACTCCGGGGCAGAGAGTTCCACTGCTGAACGGCTCTCACAGTCAGGAAGTTCTTCCTAATGTTCAGATGGAATCTCCTCTCTTGTAGTTTGAAGCCATTGTTCCGTGTCCTAGTCTCCAAGGAAGCAGAAAACAAGCTTGCTCCCTCCTCCCTGTGGCTTCCTCTCACATATTTATACATGGCTATCATATCTCCTCTCAGCCTTCTCTTCTTCAGGCTAAACATGCCCAGTTCCCTAAGCCGCTCCTCATAGGGCTTGTTCTCCAGACCCTTGATCATTTTAGTCGCCCTCCTCTGGACACATATGTACATCAGTTTCTTGGTGCACATCCCAGTGGTATTTGCTCTTTGTATGGAGCAAAACCATAAAACAGACTTTGTATGGAGCAAAACACTAAAACAGACTTTTTGATGATCATGTTGGGACAAAGCCAAGGATACAATATGGAATTCCTGAAGACAAAGGGATGTAGCTGTTTTTATTTATTTATTTATTTACAGTATTTATATTTTGCCCGAAGGAGACTCAGAGCAGATCACAGAAACACATATACGGCAAACATTCAATGCCGTTATACACTGACAAGACAGACAACTGTACATATATAGAGGTATATATAGGGTTCCCTGTCTTTGATATCTTGGAGGCTGTGTTTGGTTCCAGCCACGGAGGGGTGGGCGTTGCTTCATCTTACCTGCTGAAGAGCTTTGTTTGTAAACTTCCTTCCTTGATCGGATCACCAGCATTTTTCTGGCATTTCCTTATGGGTACCTTAAATACCTCCCTGCTTTAAAGAGGTACCTATTTATTTACTCACATTTGTTTTCGAATTGCTAGGTAGGCAGAAGCTGAGGTAAAGGCCAGGAGTTCACCCCAACTCGTGCTTCAAACTGTCCACCTTTGGATTGGCAAGATGTACTGCAGTTGGCGGTTAACCTGCTGTGCTAAAACCTGGCCCAGTCACCTCATAGCAAGCAAAAGCATTCAGATGTCATTAGTGACAAAATAGATTTTCCAAACCCAATCGGGCCCTATAGAACAGTTTCTATGGGATGGAATAGAACTCAAATATCATAAGAATGAAACCAAGATATTAGCCTACATCTTCGATGGCAAAGCTATACACAAAGGCATATCTAATGTACAATTATTTTTGAGGTATGCCTTCAGGGTTTTGTTTCTTTTTTCCCTACTCTAAGGCAGCCCTCCTTGACCTTGAAGGAGCTGGGGGTGGTGACGACCGGCAGGGAGCTCTGGCGTGGGCTGGTCCATGAAGTCACGAAGAGTCGGAAACGACTGAACAAATGAACAACAAAGGCAGCCCTATCATAGGGGCTTCTTGGCAACATTTGTTCAGAGGAGGCTTGTGTTTGTCCTCATCGGAGAAAAAATGTGAGTTGCTCACAGTCACCTAGCGGGTTTCTATGGCTGAAAAGAAATTTGAACCCACATTCAACCATAGTTCAATACTCAAATCACTAGACAACACTACTAGTGTGCTGGTGCAGACTGCTTCTTGCTTCTCCCCACTTCTAATATCTGATGAAACAGAACATTCCAGGGAGGTAAAGTGAAAGCTCCATATTTTTCCCAACTAGATAAAACATTTTTACACAAAAGTGGGAGCTTATTTCAACCTTGACTTTTTCCCAACCTGATTTTATTAAAGTGCTATCTCCAACTGCAGTTGTTGGGTTTTTTTTTAAGGAGTTTCTCCATACTGGAAAAAACATCCTAGACAAGGGCATAGGGATACTGCAGGAAGCAAGTCAAAAAGAGGGCATTTGTGCTTCTGAAGCCAAGTATGGGCTCATTATGACTTCACTCCTCAACTCTGCATCTCCCTTCCCTCCTCACAACTTTTAGTTAGTTAAGGCTGCTAACAAAAAAGTTTTTTTTTCAATAGTGAAGAGAAACCTGGAGCAGCACTGAGGGTTCAGTGCATAAGTTAAGAAGAGCTAGAAGAGTCACTCTGAAGCTATAGGCTCACTGCAAGGAAATTAAAACACCATACTAACTTTCCCATGATGCAAATATGATGGGAGGGTGGGTGTATATATATGTGTGTGCGTATATATATATATGTGTGTGTGTATTTGTGTGTTTATATGTGTATATGTATATTGTGTATGTGTGTGCTTGTCTATATGCATATTTGTGTGTATATTTGTGTACTTGTGTATATATATATATACACACATGTATGTATGTATGTGCACATATGTATATGTATATTAGTGTATATGTATATGAATATATGGTGTATTTTGGGGGGTTTTAAGTCCGTTCTGCTGTTTTGGGGGTTTTGTTGTTGTTGTTTTAGGGGTGATGAACACTCGTTGGACTGTTAGGTGTATTGTGTCCAAATTCAGTGACAATTCGTCCAGTGGTTTTTGAGTCGTGTTAACCCCACAAACAAACATTACATTTTATATAGACTAGCCGTCCCCTGCCACGCATTGCTGTAGCCCAGTCTGTGTGTATGTGTTTTATGTGTGTGTATATGTGTGAGTGTGTGGTTTTGCACACGTGTTGTTTGGTTTTTTTTGTTTTTTGGCTTTTTAAGTCTCTTCTGCTGCATTTTTCAGTGTTTTTATGAGTGATAGTCACTCATTGGCCTGATAGGTGTCTTGTGTCCAAATTTGGTGTCAATTCGTCCAGTGGTTTTTGAGTTAATCCCACAAACGAACATTACATTTTATTTATAGAGAAAGATAAGGTATACAACAGAAATAATTAAGAAAACCGACAAGAAGTCCTTGTTACCCTTGTTCACATTAGTATACACAGAGCTTTTTTGTGTTTAGATACATTTGCATCACTGCAGTTGGTGGATAGATACTGGCCTTTTTGGCCCAAGTTTTGCCCATGCCTGAATTAGCATCTGGCAGCACAAACCACAGTTTCCTCTGGCACACTTGGGCTGGATCAGTGCCATCTGATGCAGCTGGAAGGGTAAGATATGATGGTCGCATTTTAGGGCTCCACACTGACTATATAGTTCAGGAAATGGCAGTGATGCATGCCGCCCGCCCTAATAGAGAGCTGCTGCTGCTGCAGCAGATTCCTCTTCCTGCTGCTGCTGCTGCTGCGAAGACAGAGCTTCCCTCCCGCGCGCCCCTTGGCTCCGCCCCTGGGCCTCCTCCCCTGGCTCTCCCCCGGGCGCGCCCCTCACGCGCCCCCCGCTATTTGCTCTCCCTTCCTCCTCCTGCTGCTGCCCTTTGCGCCTTCCTGCCTTCCTTCCTTCCTTCCTTCTTTCTTTCTTTCTCCCCCGCCCCTTCCCTCTGGGCCCCTCCCCTTGCACTTGGCCAGGCGTCCAATCCAGACCCAGCCGGTAACGACGGCGGCGGCGGTGCTGCTGCTGCTGCTTCTGCGTGGAGCTGCACTGCGCCGGGGCTCCCCTTCCCTGCCTCTCCTCCTCCTCCTCCTCCTCCGCCTGGACAGCCGTGAGTGCCTTTGCTCTTTCTCTCGGGATGCGTCTCTCTGTCTACACACTGCCCAGTGCACGCGCTTTGACACCGGTTTCAGTACTCAAAGGCTACGGGGAATCCTCTTTAGGGAGGGAATCAGCGCCTCCCAGGGATTCCATAGCCCCAAGACAAACCAGCGGTGCCCAATCTGCATTCATTCTGCAGTGTAGACGCGCCCTTCCGCCCAAAGAGGTGTTCCCTGGTTGACAATAGACAATGCTTCCCCACCACCTTGCATCGAGAGGGTGGGTCTCTCTATACTGGAGTTTGGCACCACTTCAAACCTCCCTGGCTGAAGGCTATGGAACCCTGGGAGTTGTAGTTTTGCAAGGCCACAGCCTTCTCTGATGCCTCACCAAATTGCAACCCCAGGATTCCACTACCAGGAGTTTGGCACTACTTCAAACCTCCCTGGCTGAAGGCTATGGAGCCCTGGAAGTTGTAGTTTTGCAAGGCCACAGCCTTCTCTGATGCCTCACCAAACCGCAATCCCAGGATTCCACTATCATTGAGCCGTGGCAGTCAAAAGTGATGTCAAACCACATTAATTGTACAATGTAGAGCAAGCATGGGCAAACTTTGCCCCTCCAGATGTTTTGGCCCGCAACTCCCACAATTCCTAACAGCCGGTAGGCTGTTAGAAATTATGGGAGTTGGAGTCCAAAACATCTGAAGGGCCAAAGTTTGCCCCATCTGTGTTTGAGGCATCCTCAAACTGCAGCCCTCCAGCTGTTTGGGCCTCCAATTCCCAGAAGCCCTAATGAGCTTGTTCAATTGTCAGGAATTCTGGGAGCTGAAGGCCCAAAAAGCTGGAGGGCCGCAGTTTGAAGATGCCTGTTCAATTGTGTTGTTGTGAATCTAGGTAAGCAGGCAGCACTCTTCCTTATGCCAAGACCAGTAGAACATATTGTTGAAGGCTTTAATGGCCAGAATCACAGGTTGTTGTGAGTTTAGTCCTGTACTAGAAGCATTCTCTCCTGACATTTCCCCTACATCTATGGCAGGCATCCTCAGAAGTTGTGAGGTCTGATGGAAACTAGGAAAACAGACCTCAAAACCTCTGAGGATGCCTGCCATAGATGCAGACGAAACATCAGGAGAGAATGCTTCTGGAACATGGCCATACATCCTGGAAAACTCACAACAACCCATTGATTCCAGCTATTAAAGCATTCGACAATATGTTCTACTGGGTTTGGCATAAGGAAGAGTGCTGCCTGCTTATCTAGACTTCGGCCAGTTGAAATGTGTCATGAGTAGCTAAATCAATGGAAGAGGCCCTTCGTTGTGGCCCAAACGAACTGCAGGGTCTTGTTTGCTCTGCCTTTGACCCCTCATAAAACGTATGGGATAGAAACTACAACGGTGGGGCCTTCCACGAGGTTGAAACTTCAAGCAGCCTCAGCCAATACAATACAGAGTTGGGAGGGCTATAACTCCCCACACCCCCTTTTAGGTTCTGCACAGATAAGGCCTGCTTTGATGCAGAGGGACTTACCTCTGAGCAAACAGACACGGAGCAAGGTTGTAAAAAAGGTAAATCACCTTTCCAGGTTCATCCCCTGACATTTTGTCTTTGGGTGAAGCCCCCAAGTGCGTGGGCACATGTCCCTTCGAGACACCTGTCAGTGTATGGCAACCCTGTGGATTTCATAGGATTTTCTTAAATAATAATTATTTTTGCCAATTCTTTTCTCTGCAATATAGTCTATAACAGGTATGGGCCAACTTGGGACCTCTGGGTATTTTGGACTCCAACTCCCATCATTCCTAACAGCCTCAGGCCCCTTCCTTTTCCCCCTCAGCCGCTCAGCTTAAGCGGCTGAGGGGGAAAAGGAAAGGGCCTGAGGCTGTTAGGAATGATGGGAGTTGGAGTCCAAAACACTCAGAGGGCCCAAGTTGGCCCATGTCTGATCTACACTAGTTGAGTCCGACTAGGGTTGGTGCTCATCTCCATTTCTAAACCGAGGAGCCAGCGTTCTCCGTAGACTCCTCCAAGGTCATGTGGCCGCCATGGCTGCATGAAGCGCCGTTACCTTCCCGCTGGAGTGGTACCTATTGATCTACTCACATTTGCATGTTTTTGAACTGCTAGGTTGGCAGAAGCTGGGGCTAATAGGCGGAGCTTACTCCGCTCCCCAGATTTGAACTGCCAGCTTTTCAGCACCTCAATGGTTTAACCCGCTGCACCACTGGGGGTACCTTTTTTACCTTTTTGGAGGTACAAAAGTAATAGAAATAAATCCGTAGAAATACACAGTTGTGTAAATTCGATAGATTTTTAAGTCATATAGCTAATCAAGTTGGGGCCACGGTGGTGCAGCGGGTTAAACCGCTGAGCTGCTGAACTTGCTGAGTGGAAGATTGACAGTTCGAATCCACTGAATGGGGTGAGCTATTGTTGTTAGCCCCAGCTTCTGCAAACCTAGCAGTTCGAAAACATGCAAATGTGAGTAGATCAATACGTACTGCTTTGGCGGGAAGATAACAGCACTCCATGCAGTCTTGCTGGCCACATGACCTAGGAGGTGTCTACGGACAACGCCGGCTCTTTGACTTAGAAATGGAGATGAGCACCACACCCCAGAGTTGGACACAACTCAAATTAATGTCAAAGGGAAACCTTTACTTTTACCTACCTAATCAAGTAAAATAAACCCTTTAGTCAAGTGACAACACAGTACCCAGACCATGCAATTCTTTCATTTAACAAATGCAGCCATTCCATGCTTATGCTTTCCCACTATGTTTCTTACTAAGGACATACAGTGAAAAAAAGAAAAGGAACAGATTATGTATCTTCTGAAAGTCTGCTTTGGTTTAAGATCAATTGAAACCACCCAAACGTGGGGATGCATAGCAAGGGCATATAATTTGAAATCTCTGGGTGGAGAGAGTGTTCAGATAAGCCTATCCTTAGAACCTGAGACTTGCAGATATGCAGATGACAAAAGAAGACTCTGAGCTTCCGCGAAAGTGTAGATTGAGATGGGAATGAATTTTAAGGCCATGATTAGATCATCTTATGCAAAACAAGGGATGAGGAAGTTTCTCCTGCTGGAGATAGAAGTATGACTTTCCCATAATGAAGGGGGATGCTGTCGCTAATAGAAAATTGTAAAGATCCTTGTGAAATTTTAATTGATACCTTGTACTATATTTGGTCCTGAACTCAGCTTTCAGTGTTGGGAGTGAATGGCTATAAATCACCTGGTAGTTCCAGTATAACTGGAACAGCTGCGGGAGACAAAGAATTGAGAAAAAAAAAATCTGTTTATAAGGGTAAAATGAAAAGTAATGTAACACTATATAATTCTGAGGAACAGAAGGAACTCTGAAGGGATTCACCGAGGGCCCTTCCACACAGGCCCTGTATCCCAGGATGTGATCCCAGGTTATCAGTTTATCCCAGATTATCTGGCAGTGTGGACTCATATAATCTAGTTTAAAGCAGAAAACCTGAGATCAGATCCTGGAATATCGGGCCTGCCCACCCTCAATGATTAATGTTCAGGTTTGTATTTTTCCTTTTCAATATACTGTATGATATTTTTTAGATTCATCTATGCTGACATTCAATCATGCATGGATATCAATTTATTGAGCCCCTGGTGACGCAGTGGGTTAAAGCCCTGTGCCGGCAGGACTGAAGACCAACAGGTCGCAGGTTCGAATCCGAGGAGAGGCGGATGAGCTCCCTCTATCAGCTCCAGCTCCTCATGCGGGGGCATGAGAGAAGCCTCCCACAAGGATGATAAAAACATGAAAATCATCCGGGCGTCCCCTGGGCAACGTCCTTGCAGACGGCCAATTCTCTCAAGTAGCTCCTGACATGACAAAAAAAAATCAATTTATTCATTTACTCCTGTAGTAGAAGTACATTTGGAGCACTGCATAAAAGTGAAAATACACACTCTATAAAAACAATACAGGAAAAAGAATGCTTTTCTGTACTACTTGAATACTATCCATAAGGAAATCTGTCCAGGACTGAGGAGTTGATATCTCCTCCAAGCTTCAGACATGGGTGGATCTACACCAGTGGTTCTCAACCTGTGGGTCCCCAGATGTTTTGGCCTTCAACTCCCAGAAACCCTAACAGCTGGTAAACAGCCTGGGATTTCTGGAAGTTGTAGGCCAAAACACCTGGGGACCCACAGGTTGAGAACCACTGGTCTACACTGCAGAACAGGCATGGGCAACTTCAGCCCTACAGGTGTTTTGGACTTCAACTTCCACAATTCCTAACTGCAAGTACGCTGTTAGAAATTGTGGGCATTGAAGTCCAAAACACCTGGACAAAGTTTACTCATGCCTGCTGTAGATAGAATTAATGCAATTTGATCCCACTTGCACTGCCAGAGCTCAATGCTATGGAATTGTTGTGGTTGTTGTTACTTTACAAGGTATTTCGCTTTCTCTGCCAGATAGTGCTGGTGGCTCATCAAAGTACACATCTCAAGATTCCATAGCATGAAGCCATGGCAGTTAAAATGGGCTCAGACTGCATTAATTCTACAGTGTGGATGCATCTCTAGAAAAAAATGGGTAATACTACCATAGCAGTTCCCCTTCATTCTTTTATTTATTTATTAACCCCTTTTATATCCCACCCTTCTCAACCCCGAAGAGGACTCAGGGCAGCCTTACAATGCATTTTCTATATAAATAAAAATGTAATGTTTGTTTGTGGGATTAACATAATTCAAAAACCACTGGACAAATTGACACCAAATTTGGACACAATACACATATTAGGCCAATGAATGACCATCCCTCATAAAAAACACTGACAAATACAGCAGAAAAGGCTTAAAAAGCCAAAAAAAATGCATTACAATGAATGCGCAAAACCACATATATATAACATACACACACAAATATATACACAAATACGCACATATACACACACAAAGTACATATATACACAGACTGGGCCACAGCAACACATGGCAGGAGACGGCTAGTATATTAAT